ATGAACATCTGATTTTAAAATATAAAAAATCTAAAATATAATTAGAATAATTATCGAGTTCCAACAAAATAAATGATTATTATTTTTATAATAAATTGTATTATTAAACCAAATATAAATTACTTCGTTATTGTACATAAATTAAATYATAAAAAAATTGGATTAAAAAATTACACAAAAAAATGAGGAATTACAAATAGTTAATTTGATACTAATATCGATATATTTTTGTCAAATTTTTATGATATCGTCAAACATATATTTTATTCAAAAATAAAATCATCATCGATTTCTCAAAATCACATAAAGCCATATTATAACATCGACTGAGATAAAGAATAAAATAAAATATTAAAAACACGATGTATCTCGCTGCATTGCTCGAGTACGCTTCTAGTATTTTATTATTAAGATAATTTATATTTTTAAATGGTTAAAAATATTTTTATAGGCATTTATTGTTATTATTTTAATTTGTCACAAAGTAGGTGTCTATTTATCTATACTATATTATATAGCATTTGATAAAAACTGTTAAAATCATTTTTTATGTATGGAATATTATTTATTGATGCATATTACTTAAAATTTAAGATTACCATTAATTTTACGTAAGTATAACTTATTAAAGCTTCATTATTAAATTTATGTAACTAACTGTAAACATAACATAATCAAATATAGGATAAACATTCATTTTAAATATAGAAAATCGAACATATAATTAATATAATCATTGACTTCCAAGACTATACTTGATTATTATTTTTATAAAAAATTATATTATTAATAAACGAAAAATTAAAAAAATGAATTAAAGACATACAAAAAATAATTAAATAGTTAATTTGGTACTAATATAGAAAATCATTTTTTTATATATCTTCATGTTTATATTTTGTTCAAAAATAAAAACATTATCGTTTTCTTATAACCACATAAAACTGTATTGTAACATCGACTGAGACAAAAAAAAATGTAACATTAAAACTGAAATGTATTTTATTGCATTGTACGAGTACCCTTCTAGTATTTATAAATGTAAATGTCTATTTTCTCATTTTAAACTTAATTATGAGATGGAGAAGATTTCGCTCTATAATTAAAGGTAAACAACGTCATTTTATTAATTAAAAAGTATAATAATTACGCATTCCTAAAATTATATATCTTTTTTATTGTCGATATTTTTTTTGGAATGGAACAAAACATCTGTAAATAACCGATTCATACAATTGTTTCCAATTGGAAAAACAACTAAAGAGATTCAAACGAGCACATTACCTCCAAAAGATGAAATATTCCAAGGCAACGGTTGGTTCGCAGAATGTTTTAACTGAAATAGAAGTTTTTCATATAAATCTGAATTGAATTTAAAAGAAGTTGACCAAACGTTGATGGTAATCGATGACGGGTCTTGGTGGTGATGGTCGACAATAATGGGTGGTGAGTAGTGATTAACAAAGGTGATGATGGGTAAAATCGACTTTTTATTCTCAATGGAATTGAATCATGGGTACATACAAGGAATGGAATATTCCTGGTTATGTTTTCAAATCCACTTCATACATTCCATTCCATTCCATCCTTTGAATAAATTTGTTTGAGCTTTGCTCTAAAAGTTAAAGATACTAAAATGTCTCATATTCAGATTTAAAGAGAAATAAGAATTCTCTTATGGTCACGAAGGTTTAAATACGGTGACTTCGAGCTATCTGCAAAGCAGGTGGTCGTCATGGAATTAGTCGGCTCGCATAACGGGTTAGATATCCAGGTTAATAAAAATAATTGTTCAAAGGATTTTACCATTCTAACGAACCATACACTCCTTAATTTCCGTGATAGAGACAAAAAAGAGGTCATGGAAATGTTGTATAAAGTAATGTTTTATACTAACAGTTCAACATATGGCTTTGTCGACGTCTACAAGTAATTAATCCAGAAGTCCAAATCCATTAAGCGATACAGAATACTACAGATATGAACATTGAAAACTGTCTGGAAAACTTATTTTAGAAGTCTGGAAAAAAAAACACCATCTTGAAATCCATACTCTTTGTTGCATATTTTCTTTTTCAAACTTCCATCAAAATAGCTAAAAACATTTTGTGATTATTGGTTTAATAAATTCAATTTCCCGTTAAGTTTGGAAACCGTATCTTCTATATTATAAAAATGTTTCTAGAAACTTACCCATTTAAAAAACCTTGTGACACGCTTCTCAAAAGCTTATTTCTTCGCATTCGAAAAATGGAACACGTCCCGAGTCAATATTTTGTATTTGCATGTTTTACAACGTATAACTTGATATTGTTTTTTTTTCATACAATTAATAATTGGTTTAAAAAATACACCGAAACATATCAGGTTTTTGTTTGGCAATCATCAAAACACCAACGAATACCACATTATCACTGAATACTGTAAAAAAACAAAGTGTTGTATGAAAGCAAAAATCAAAATTTTAATGTAATCAAAACCCTACTAAAATAACCATTTGGGTTGTGACGTGTTGATTAAATCTTAGGCATCTACTCTGTATTCGAATCTAAACGGTATCATAACCCTTGTGGCTATGAAGGTTCACTTACGATAACTTCAAACCATTCATAGTTATCCATAAAATGAGTCAAAACTTGTAAGTTGATTAAGAAATCCACAGTTACCAAATAAATAAAGAAACAATTAAAGTGAAGTGATTCGTTTTGCTTAAAGTCAAATTCCGTGTTGCCCACGAAGGCATGTTCAACAAAAGAGATTCCCTCAATCATGAAAAGAGAATTTTAAGTTTTGTGGTGATGAATAAATCTAAAAATACCAAGTGTAAAATAACATAAAATCAAACCGCGTCATATAATTTGGTATGATTTTAGGATATCATGTTTTACTATACATAACTGAGGGTTGTTTATCAAATTCTTACTAGATAAGCATGACAAAGATCAAAAATTTTATCTATAAGAGACATAACTTTTATCTAGTAAATGAGGAAGTACGCTATTACCCGGTCAATGCTTATAAGGTAAGAAACGTTACCAACAACTCATTTTGATTACCAAAAATATTACTTCATAAGGTAAGTGAAGATGGTAACTCTTTGTTATTAAGCACTTACTAACAAGTACTTGGTAAACGACATCTTAATTGGATTATAATTTCATGTGTTAAGTAAATCAGATTAACTTGTCAATATTAGATTGTAATCGTATAGTAAAATAATTCATTTACTAATATACTTCACATTAATTCACCTCAAATTATAACAAATCCAGTTTAAGACATTATCAAGAACAAAGTAACATATAATTCATTTTAATACATTATTATATAAGAAAAATGTAACATTTGACTTTATAAATAATTTAAAAAAGATGTCTATTTAAAAAAATGAATAGTAGTAAAGTCAATAGGTCAACGGGCTGCAAATTTGAATGAAAACGAAGTCAAGGTGAGTAACAACCATTAATGAATTTCAATTGATTATAGACAACGTCTCAAATACGTTTACCCACGTTTGATTGTTTCTACAGCTCCAACCAATCAAGGAGTTGAAAATAAACATAGATTCCAAGATTCCCAAATTGGCTCTTTGATTGGACAATTTGAGGTTCAATTTTAAAATAAAATCTATGATATAGAATGGTACTTACCAGAATGAGTTGAGGTCTAGAGTTCGCCATTTACATGTCTTTAAAACATGCAATTTACGTCTTCCATGATGATGGTGGGACCAGTACTGTGGGGACGTTCCAAAAATGACGTCATACCTATTTTTTTCCAGAGATTTAGAATTTACATCTCGGTTAGGCATCAATGTTTTATGGTCGAAATCTGGGCTTTTTTTGGTAGTCGCATCTGCATGATCAATGAAGAAATTTTAAATCGTAACTGGGTTTTAAAATAACTTATGACTAGAACTAGAAAGGGGATTAGAGATTCGGACCTTTGATTTTGTTGTTCTCCAGCCTCCTGGGTTAGTTTCTTGAGATACATATGCAAATTTCTCAAATGGATGCTGTACAACGCTTTTACTCCAACTTCTAACACTAGATGGCGAGAGTTCCTACAATCGGTTTTAATAGAAGCCCCAATTAGAATGTGTAACTCATTTAACGAGGGATAGATAGAAATAAATTAGGATCTAAATCTAATTCAATTGCTTGTTAACCGCAATTAAAAGCCTAAACCCGCAGGTTGAACCTCCATCCAATAAGTATGTCAGGGTGCCAAGTCCCACATTGGTTAGAATTTGTCATTTTCTTCTCTATACATGTTTGAAGAGTAACCTGATGGTAATATAAACCAACCCGCGTCAGTCTAAAAAACCCATGGTAAGAAGACCCACTTAAGACCAAAGATCCAACTGTTCAACTCCTCCACTAACCAGAGAGCTGTTCAGCAGTTACCAAAGCTAATGGCAACATTCTTCAATGCCGATCTTTGTTCTATTTTTGTATACTTAGTTCAAGCAAACTGTTTGTCGTTGAGTCTTTGTTTTGCATATCATCCTAATGTTTTCCTCAATTTTGTTTATGTTTAAGTTTGCAAGTTTTTGGTAGAATCCTAGCTATAAATGAATCATTTTATACAAGTTCTTCATATAGTTAGATTGTAAACCAAACCAAACTAAACCAAACGTATTCAGCATATCCCACTCGCAAGCAGGGTCCGGGGTGGGATAAACACAAACCTTACCTCTATCCCAAAGGGTAAAGACTGTTTTTTCTGTGATAGTGAAGATGCTCAACTTTTTAGGTTTTGCAAGTACTTTAATTAGGTATTTATACCATTATTATACTTATAGGTTCAGGTTCAAATGAGAAATTAAACATTTTCCGAGAAAACGAGAAGTTAGCCCGGACTCCCGCAGGGGGCAGCAGTGCGAGAAATTTCAATATCATATATGACTACACGCAAGATACAAACGCTTAATCATATATGATTAAACATATGGCTGCATTGACAACAAATAGACGCTTAATCATATATGATTAAGCACACCCATAAGCGTGTAATCAAATATAATATTAGGACTTCTCTCGCCTTCTCGCAAAATGTTTAACTTCTTGCATGATCCTTCCACTATACTTATAATACATGTAGTACGTACTTTTTAGTCAGTAGTGGTTCATCCATGCTTGAACAATCCGCTCGGTAACCTTCTACTTCATTTGATAGTTTTCAAAATTGATAAGACCGATTTCAGACTTGAGAAAAAGAATGCATTTGAACTAATAGAAACTACCTGCACACAATGTGTAATAATAGTTTCAAGCATTACCATCTTTTGCTTTCATTTATTTTGTTTTTACTTAAAGATTTTAGAATATATTAAGATGCATTAAAGTTACCTTATTCCTTGATGCATCGATATGTTGGATTTTCAGTCTATCAGAATAAAAGAGTACCTGCAAATAGAGTAGAATATTAGAATAGTTGAAAACATAAAAGTTGTAAGAGTACTGGACAAACCAAATAAAGCCACATTCAAAATGATCCACCAAAAATGAAGAAAATGGTTGCAATGGCCCAGGCCCAAATCAATAAACTAGGTGGCGAAACCAGGTTTTCTAACATGGTAATTAGAGATGCACGAGGCCTGGGCTTTCTCAGGCCTGGGCCCAAGCCTTCCAAGCCAGATTTTAGTGAGCACGAAAGGCCCAGGCTTTGGGTTGAAAAAAGGCCCGAGCGGGCTTTTCATGCCACGCTTTTTTGAGATGTTTGGGCTTTTCCAGGATTTTTCAGGCTCAGGCCTGGCCCCAAAATTTCGATCTGCTCGGGCTTCAAGGCCTGGCCCCGACCAGGGTCGGGCTCACTGGACCGCGGCTTTTTCAGGCCGGGTTTCGGGCTTGGACCTTTTTGTGCATCTCTAGTGGTAATGTGTTACCATAACGTAAGAAAAAAATTATGGATATGCATCATCATTATAAATTTTTTATTTTTTATCTATTTTTACATTACAAAATAGAATTTGAGAGTATGCACATATGTACCCTCCTGTGGCTAAAGCTGGGCTCCTGAACAAACCAAACCAAACCATTATATCCCACCCAGAGGTGGGTCTGGGGCATGATGTACACAAACCTGATATTTGCCCTCTGCCCCTGCACAAACTAATCAATATATCCTTCAAACAACTAAAACCATGATGGGAAGATTATTGGTAGTCCACCATAAATCCAGAACCATTTCCTCAAACCACTGATGAAATTCAAAACACAGGATCAAACCTTACTACGGCCTAAGGCACAGTTCCGAACTCCCAAAACATGAATCAGCTACCTGACCCAAATAACCTCAACAAATCAGATGCGGGTGAAACATTATTATAGTTTCAATAAACAATACCTTGTTTAGAAACTGCACATTGGATGAATCGGTTGCAACGACATGTAAGCCAAGGCAATTGTCTTGATTACTGCAGAAAGGGCAGAGAATTGTATTAAATACACAACCATCTTCTTTACTCCAAATTCCTTGCCCAATAGCACCTTCAGAACTTCTTTCCCAGATTCTTCGATCAACTGATGAAATGTCAGATACCACAATAGGTACACTTGTCGGACCCTTTGATGGATTCTCCAACTTGCCTTTCCAAATTGATGTCAGGTGCACTTTAGACGATGACGTTAAGGAACAAGGAACAATATAGTTATTCTCTACAAGACCTAGAGAACTTCGACAGAGTGAACAAGATATTTTTATTTCTTTCTTTGTAACATCACTCCAAGTGGTAGATGATGTCTCTGATATATCCAGAATACAGGATTGAGGAGCACCACACTTCATGATTTCATTCCTTGGAATGGTATTTCCGGTATTAGTATCTGCTGTCATCAATGAACCCTCCACCAGAGCACCAAAGATAGAAGTTTTAGGATCCAGAGAATCAAAATTCTCCATCTTAACTAGAGAAGTTGAAGACTTTCTTCTTTTATGAATATGTGAATTGACACTCAAATCTAAAGGTGATCTGTTTTGAGACCCGTGCTCATTTTTAGGAGTAACCACACATCCAGAAGCAGAAGTAGAGCAAGGAGAGGAAAAAGAGTGCGATAACAGCTGATCCGGAAACTTTGTTTGGATTATGGTTGAATTAGAGAACTCATCCTCAGAGACAGATTCAAGATAAGTAGGACCCGCATCCTCGATTGGTGTTTCCTTCACAATACACGGCTCATGGTCATTAGGGGGCAATGTCATATCAATAGCAATACCATCGTCAGTCCTCGGGGTTTCGTTAACAATTGATAGCTCGAAATTATTAGGAGATAAGTTCATTGACAGTGGTAATGAAAACCTGCATCAATATGTTGATCACAATGTGCAGAATATACATATATCAATAACTATATAACTTAAATGGCAATTGGAGGTTTCAAGAGGTAAATAATGAAGGAGAGACATTTAACATGTAAAACTAGACACCAAAGGTAAGACACCTGTTTAAACTTCTACGTTTTTCATTTCAAAGATTGAAAACAGAACTTTAAAGTCACGGTCAATTAGACACCAAACAGAAACTTTTAGTAGAATTAGAATAGATTGATAACTTTTGACAAACTTCAGGAACTGTACACCAACATCAACAGGACTCCCAACCAATCCTAAACAATTAGACTTTCATATTATCATCAGCAACTCCAATAGAAGCTTCATAGAACACACCACCAGTTAAAATAACGAGGATATGGCAAACTAAAGAGTTTCACATATGATATACCTCTTTTGGGTCTCCAAATCACCTTTCAAGTCCATATAAGCTATACCAGTGTTGTTGTCGCTCTTATTTGCTGGCCTTTCTTTTTGGGCTTTAGATTCTACTTGGGGGGAGGAGCAGTCATACTTTCTAGTTGCAATTGCAAACTTTTTCATCTTAGTTGCTATTTCAGGTGCTGCAACACCATTCATCACAGATCTTTGTCCTTTTGGTTTGGATTTAATTACATTTTGGTTCTTCATTTCTGTGAACCAGTTTTTTGGCTCCTCCACATCAATGGTTTCAACATCGACCTGCTGCATAGCATTTACATCATTCTCAACCTGTTCTCCCGTTGTTCACAAATTGAGAAATATCATTGTTAGTGATGAACATCCTAACTGTAGGAAGAAGATAAGACATTGCATAGATAGTAGAAAGAACGATGTCATAGAAAGAACCTTTATGTCTTTGAAAAATAACTTTAATCCCTCCAATGACTGGTCAAAGTTGTCATACTGTCTAATGGATTTCCTTATCCACTTTGAAATGTATGTTAAATTTCTTTCTTTACGGAACCGTTCATCTGCATGCAAAATTAAACACGTTAAAGACTCTACCATCTTAAAAGAGCACTAGTTTAGTAACAGATGAGATCTTCATAAGTACCCCCTTCATCCCAAAATAAGTGTCCGCATTGCTATTTAGTTGGCCTAAAATGTCTACTTTCAAAAGCAAGCGCCTACTTTCCAAATCTACCCTTAATTATGAGATGGAGAAATTCACTAATCCATCTATTATCAAGGTAAAATTGTCGTTAGTTAATATCTTTTCTATGTAAATATTTTGCTTAATTTTGACACAATATAATCCTAAAATCGTTGCATTGATAAGTTTTTGAGGTTCCATGCTGGGAAAGGGGGCTTGATCCAGATTATTGGTAGAAGCAGAAAAGAATTGAAGGAGTGGTGCATAACTAAACCATAAAAGAGAGTAAAACTAAACCATGGAAATTTTCTCCACCATGAGGTAATTAAATTCTACTTCAAGTGTCGAACAAAAGTTGCAAAAAAACATACCGAGATATTAGTTTTGTAACACTGATAAGAAAAGGAATTCCAACTCTTCTAAGACATCAATGCAAATAAAGTGTAAGATAACTGATATGTTGAAAATTAGTTGGATAGTTATACATATGTTGGAACCCATACCTAAGAAGATTACGGCTCCATAATCCAATCTGTGTCGGATGCAACGACCTACATAGAAAAAAGAAAGAATACTATAAGATAGGCAGATAGCAGAAGTTCAAGTACATCATATACAGCCAGAACTCATGAGAAACGTAGGGGGAAAGTTGAACAGGCAAAATTAACCCATTTAAAACTAAACCAACCCTCTAACTGATGATTATTACTGCTTGAGTTGTATGGGCAAAGAATTTTGAACTACTGGGTCAAATGGGTTGATAACTTTAACTCAGCCCATTAATCATTAAGCTAATATGTACCACTTCATTTACATGCCAAAACTCTCTCCCTTACCCACCTGCTGCCCAACTTAGTACCATCTTTTCACACATTACCTCTCCCTGCCCCACCCCGATCGCAATCCACTTACAATATGTTTTCCTCCTTCCATGACAAAAATAGAAATAAAGAAGCAATTAGATCATAACGTTTTTCATCAAACAAAAAGATAATATTTGGCACACTTTCTTAAGTATAGTATTTTTTTCTGGCATTGTTCCAAGAACGATGTGTGAGACCCAAAATTAGCAGTGAAGGGCAATTTTGGTATTCTAGTTAAACCAGTCAATAGATAGACAGGTTGGGGAAGGTTTTGAGCATGCTTATTTTCAATCCATATCTCAATAAACTAGAGTGTCTGAGCATCATAAGGAGAGTTGGTCTACCTCTCAAAAGTAGACCAAGAGTTGACACATATCTCTTGCATATTGGTTGTTTATGTGGAGAAGAATGTGTTTTAGTGTATCCACATAGGTAGTAGATAAAAGATAAAACAAATGAAAGAAACCACTTGTATCATATATGCGGAGGTAGGGTCTCGGTGGGTCGTATGTAAGCAAAACTTACCTGTATCTCAAGAAGCAGAGAGGTTCTTTCCAAAAATACCCCCGGCTAGCAAAAAAAGGTTAAGTAAATACAATAAAATTTTGTGACTATGCACAGACTTGCAAAAAGAAGAATTTGGGACAGGAGTATAAAAGCAGAGAGCTTACCTAGCTATAAAGAACACAAACACACCAAAGAAACACCCTATTCCAATCAAAAGATACCCCAACTCACTCTACCCTCTACAAGAGCATGGGAGAACCTCAAAGAGAAATCAAGAAGCATGAAGCAGGTTCTAGAGGACTCCTTACCCTTCTAGGGTTTACGATAATTCTTTGCATATATCTAGGTATAATATTCTAAAGTTGTACATAGGGGTTTTTGATGCAATGAAGATTCACACCCTCATAATGTATTTGAAGAAGACAACAACTTTGTGGTTACATCAAAAAAGCTATGCATACCATAACTACTTGGAATAAGTTCATATACGAGTTAAAAGGAACATGTTTTTTCCTGAGAATGCCATATCATGAGGCAAAGAGTCGAGTCCGGAATCTCAAGCATTCGGGATCAATTCATGAGTACGTAAAAAAGTTTAAGGCTCCAACACTTGAGATTTGAGATCTCTCCAACGATGATGCCCTAGTGTATTTCTTGGATGGACTTCAACCATCAGTAAAGATGGAGATTCAAAGACGTATGGTGTAGACCTTGCATCAGCAATTGCCGAAGGATAGTTGATTGCAAGAACTTAACAAAGAGGAAGCCAAGCTCAAAGAAGTGGAGGAAAGAAAAGAACCAATGTTAGAAGCAAAATCATGCAAAAACCGTCTACCAACAAGTGGAAGGCAAGAAAATTTGAAGGTACATAAAAGGCTGTTAAATGCTTCCTCCGCAATGGAATAAGGCTATGAATATGGAGATGGAGGGATTGGAAAAAAGTTGGAATTTAGTGAAGTTACCTCATGGGAGGAACCAAGTAGAATGTAAATGGATTTATATAGCAATGTATAAAACATATGGATCTATAGGAAGATACAAACCTACTCCAATTATAAAAATGAACATTGTTGGAGTTTTATTATCATTATCCGCTAACTTAATTGGGATATTTTGCATGGAGTACTAAGGAAATTTATATGGAGATTCCACCAGGTTATAGCAAATGTTTGGTTATAGGCATAATATGTAGATTGGAAAAAGATCTTCTATGGGCTCAAGCAATCACCATGAGAATGGTTTGGAAAATTTACCAAAGTGATCACAAGCATGGGATATAGACAAAGTCAAGGAGATCACACTTTGTTCACTCAACACTCATCTCCGGGCGTGAAGTTACAATTTCAATGGTGTACATTGATAACATAAGTGACTGGTGATGCTGATAGGGAGAAGTAACTTCCAAGTCAATGTTTGGCCAAGGAGTTTCATATTAAAACATTAAGAAGGTTGAAAAAGTTCCTTGGGATAGAAGTTGCATATTCTAAACAAAACATTTTTATTCCCCAAAAGTATGTCATAGATCTACTCAAAGAGACCGATATGAGGGCATGTAACAGGGTACTCCACTAGAACAACCCTCAACAAGTTCACAATCCAAGGGAAGTTCATTTGCATGCAGTATACAGAGTTTGGCAGTACAAAAGAACATGAGGTATAGATATCCTTTTCAAAAGAATAACACTAGAAGCCTACACATATTCTGGCTATGATGAGCCATTTAACAAAAAATCAACCTCTCGTTACTTTATCTTTTTGGTGGAAATCCAGTGACAGGGTACGAAAAAAAAGTGTGGTAACACATCTAGTGCTGAAGCAGAGTATAGAGAAATGACTCAAGGTATGTGTGAACTAATATGGCTGAAGATCGTTCTAGAGGATTTAAAGGTTAACGATGGCCCTATGAAACTCTATTGTGATAACAAGACTGCAATAAACCTAGCTCACAAGTCACAACTCAGGGCAGCATGATCAAACAAAGTACATCAAGATTGACAAGCACTTCATGGAAGAAAACTTGGATAGAGGACTAATATGTACATCTCAAGTCTCTACACAAGGCCAACTTGCTAACATACTCACCAAAGGATTAAGTAGTTTAGTGTTTTAAGAAATTTGTATCCCGGCTGAGAATGGTAATATTCACCAGCTTGAGGAAGAGTGTAAAAAAGATTGTGTTTGTGTTTGTGTATACCACATAGGATAATTGTATATATAGTGTGTTGTTTCAATGATTAAATACAATACAATATACATGCTCTTTCTCTTTTTCCGATTCATGACAGTTTACTTGTTGGTAAACTTCGTTTATTAATAGTTTGTTTGATTTACAGTTCAAATCCATATTCATTAATGTCCAGTTCTTATCACAATGGTTGGTCTGCAAAGGAAAGCCAGATAGAATGGTTCAAAGAGAATCATTCTACAAGGGTAGTGCATGGAAAGGCATTACAATTAGATGAAAAAAAAGCCTAGGGTTGTGTAGGATTTGACCAAGATTTTGCTCATAGTTTTAGAAGTTCGTGCATGCATAATTTTACTATGCAGTGTTAGGCACATGACCGAAACGAGAAGAAAACCCTCATGACTTCAGGTTACCTTTGGAGAGAGAACGTAGACCTAAAATATATAAAAATAGCCTATAAAAACCATAGAACTATACAGAGGCTTAAAAGTCCCACCTATGTGAAAGCATGATTCAATTTAAAAAAGCAAACATTATATAGTAAAGCATGTTCTCATCAAACGGAGATACCTGCTGCTTGATTCAGTGCTCGGAAAGCTTGCTGACAATACCATTCGTTGCCACTAAGAAGGTTTTTAGACGATTTATATGTATCATTATATTTCTTCTTTTCTGCTACTTGGATATCAAACCTGATAAAAAAAATACATGCAATCAGCAGGATATGAAATAGATAGTATACTTTATTGATTGTGTACATACATTACACCCTATCAATGGTGCAAATGTACTCTAAAAAATTGAATCTTACACATTTGGAAAAGGAATCCCGACAATTATCTGAGATTTTTAGTCAAGGATCATTTTAAAAAGGTAACAGAATTATAACCATGCTCCGAAAAATTACGAGAAGTTTATTGTAGTGAACAGGCTCTAGGTTATCAAGAAGCAACAAAGGATACAACCGCTCGAGCATTATCATCAGAGAAGTCAATTCCTTCGGAGACCTGTATAGTCAGAAAGCAACTTCAGTATATAAACCAAAGCCACAAAGGTATGGTTCTTAGACAATGCTTTTTTCACATAACTATATTACAAAAATGGTGATATATTTCAACTAAATTGATGAAAACATATAGCAACAATGAGGCATCTGTGCACATCTCCAAAAATCAAACTTTTCATGAGCGAATTAAACATATTGAAGTCAATTGTCATTATGTTCCTGGAAAGTAATAGAAACTACTCGTAAACCTCTGACTATTGAACTTGTATAGGTTCCCTTTAGAGATCAACTTGCTGATATGTTGAAAAAACCACAATGCCGATCTCACATACACCCTATATGTAATAAGTTTAGAGCATCTACAACAGATTCTGTATAATTTCTCTAAAATAGAGAACAAAAAGTAAAAAATATTTAGAAAAAATAATACGCAACGCCAACAGATTCTCTATCTTGAAGATTTCAACATTAATTATATTATTAAGATATTCTATGATTTTATCATTCCATTACACTTTTTTACAACTTTATATTAAATAAAAACAATTCAATTTCATTGGTGGGAATGTATAAAAAACATCATTTCTCTCTCATCGCATTAAATTTGAGAATTCTCTAAACTCGAAGTTTTCTCTTTTACTATTTTGGAGAACAATATACAGAATCTGTTGGAGCAAAATAGAGACCAAAATCTCCATTTTCTCTATTATAGAGAATCTGTTGGAGATGCTCTTAATATCAGAGGGTTGATTATGTCAATACTATCATACAGTTTATTCTTGGCCCAGGGCCCACATATGTAAACTAGCAGTAGATTGCTTTGCTATGAATAAAGATAAACTTGCTGAGTGTTGCCTGTTAACACAAATGAAATGGGAACACAGTCAATGATGCAACATCAAGCTTCTATTGACAAATGACAAGTAATACGTGTGAAATGCGAGGTTTGAGTATGTAACATGCACTACAAATAGTGGATTATGTTGCATCATGTATCAATTAGTAACAAATGAATTAGAAAGAGAAATTTGATTTATTATGCTTAATGTGCGCTGCTATATCAGAAATATGCTCTATTGTTGCCTTCCTACAATAATGGGTAAATTAAAAGGTGGAAACAATGAACATCAACCAGTACCAATAAACGGCATAACTTGTTTCCCAGCAAAAAATATAATGAAACCAAACCAATAGATTTCAAAACTCCAATATTCAGACTAAAACAAGTAACATGTAAAGCTAAGCATATATATTAATCAATGAAGTGGTGAACATCCTCGTCAAACAAAGAAGAAAAAGAAGGAAATGGAGCTAAGCAAAGAAATTGCTAAAAGCGGGATTTGAAATCACGCCCTTTGGAACAAGAAACTTTAATCCAACCCAGCAGTATCCAGGTTACCGATAAGACCCAAGCTCTTGGAGCTCAAGGGTTCAAACCTCACCAAAGGCGAGTGTGTGTGAGTATTTGTTGTATTACTTGTATATTATAGATATACTTAATAAAAACTAAGAAAAAACTATTGACTACCAACTCATCTAAAAGTTTAAGCTAATAGATGAAAGCCCGCCAGTTATATCTATTTTTTTATAACCTTGGGTGTCCGAGCCAACTTGCGTGCACCTCGAATAATCCATGAGGAGACTCATACCGGCAACCTATGGGGAGAAGCCCAAGGCCTGGCCTTTATTTTCCACTTGAGCTGCCCTCAAGGGTTATTATATCTAGTTCATAGTAGTCAAAAGTGTGCATGCATTGGGGCTTCACCCAGGTCGAGAGGTGAGAGCTTTGTTTGCTCTATTGGGGCTCATGTGCAGGGCATGAAGCCTTCAAGAGACATCTTTCAAGGTAAAGTATTGTTATTGCAATATGGATTACTAAGACAACTTTTCTCTCTTAACCACTTAAGCACGAGCTATTATTTTCTCTCATAAATACACATCATAGTTGTCCATACAGGTATAAACAGAATAAAAGTTCAATCATTAATGTTACTTCAACAACACAATCACAATAATCAAAATATATTAGCTTACCCGAAGAAAAGTCAAGAGAGAAAGATGGTAGGTCTCGATTCAAACTATTCTAGCAAGTCTTAGATGGAGGAGTAGCACTGGGCAAGTAACTTACTTCACTAACTGAGATACACAGGTTACTCAAGGTGGCATGAGCTGTAATAGTAGTTGAAAGGACCTGTTACTGAATACACATAGGTCTTTTCCTGTTGTGCTTATACAACTTGTTCTCTTCTATTTCCTCTCTTCATCCAAAGGATATTAAATGAATTTGATGAAAGATGAACCTTTAATGTGCATTGCTAAAATATAACTTGAGGACGTTATGTATGCTGAGGAAGTCAATTGCTTAAAGTATATATCAGAGAAATGGATAACTTCAAATTTAAAAATATAAATGCCAAATGGGCTACTAATGACTATTGAAATAAAGTACGAAGACTTGAGAATAGTGATGGGAGCAGGTTTATAATAGTGTTCCTGATGTCTGTTTCACCATATCTAAGATAAAGTGGAAAAAAAGATCCAGATGACACATCAAGATACCTTTCCTCGACAGACAGCAAGAAATGCAGCTCCCGTCCTAGAGTTCCCTTTGCTCCTTGCTGCATTACAACTATTAGCATCCAACCTTTTACCCCTTCTCCTTCCAATCATTGGTTTATTCTTCTGATGAATTGTATCATAATAACCATTCAGAACATTCTCAAAATCATCCTGGCCTCCTCTTGGCTCTGATCATACAACAAAAGAGCTCTCTTATCACAGCAGATATACAAGTACCAGATCACCAAGAAGAAGTCACAGAGAAAAGAACAGCATGCAAAACTGAAGATTATAGCCCCAATTGTAGCAACGAAAGCTGATAATTTCAAGAATCAGAGACGATATCTGACTTCAGCAGAACAGTGTGTTGTCTTCTTAGTGTCAATTTCACCAATTTACCTTGAAACATTAATAAAATAGGATTGAACCTCACCAACAAAGATGGGCTTCTGTGCATTTAGTCGAGACCATTGACCTGTTTCAGACCATCGACTGCGCAATTTCTCCATAAGCTTATAGCTCGGGAAAAATACTAAGCAACCACCAGGGACGACCTTGCAAATTTCTTCCAGAGATGTGCCAAGTGCATCCTGTACAAGAAACAATAGCATCATACTTAATGCAGAGGGAAATGTTCCCATCTTTATTTTTAAAAGCTTACCTGGAAACCATAGTCCTCAGATGTTTTGTAACTTGCATTCAGTGGGTAATTATCTGGCCCACTGTGAATCACACCAGCCCATAGCTGCAGGGTAAACGGTTAAAAGTAAGATGAGGAAAACAGTAGAATCAACTAAAGCAATAAATACTAAACAACGCAAGAAATTTTGTCGGTACCTGTGACTCCACATTGATAACATGTGGAGCTTCAAGACAGGTCCCGAATTGAACCCCAAGTTCAGATTGGAAAGAGCTCATTGGTGACAAAGTCCTGTCATCAGATTGATGAACGATTACAAGGATGACACAATCTGGACCATGCAAATTGCCAAACCACAAACTAATCTACAAGTCTAAGAAGGTGTTTGGTTTGCAGAATCAGAATGAATTGAAATGGTCAATTCCATTGATGGAATTTCATATCTGCATTTGGTTCACATACCTAAATGGAATTGGAATTTGATGAATTCCTTCAAATTATGGTTGAAGGAATTGACCATTCCATGCCTAAATGCTAGGATTCTAATGGAATTGAATCCTTATTTTTCAAAATGACAAGACTAACATTAACTCTATTATTAATTTATTGATATTCATATTATCACTATTCACAAGTCTCTCCCACCAGCACCATCAATTAATATTATTATTAATTTTATAATAGTATTTATAATTTATGTAAAAAGTACGATGATGTTACAAAAGGTTATTCCCATCATTTGTCATTATCTCATTAGAATTCCGAGGTTATATTCTTGCGAACAAAACAAACAGATTCCATTCCTTTTCATGCCAATCAACGAGGGGCCAAACCTGAGTCAACTCCATTCCATTCCCTCAAATTCCAATGCCTTCAACACATTCTATTCCCTCCAAAACTTTCCGCAAATCAAACATCCCCTAAGGGAGTAGACTAACCTAACAATACTTCCCCTCGGCAGCAACCTCAGAGGTTCACAAAGATCCATAAAGTTTGTGATTTATGCACAAACCAAAAAGAGTGCAAATTGCACTTATAACATGTGTGGAGGCAACAGATTCAAGCAGGATGATTAGACGACTATACAGCAGGAACTTGCAGAACCATATATCTCAATTAAATTACCACATCAAGTCAAAAACTAAAAGCATTAGCCAGTTAAGAAAAGGTCTGACCAGTCCCATCAAGCTTCAACAAAAAGTGAAAGCAAAATGTGTAGCCCACCACAAAAGTGCATTTGTAATGCATATTCCGATACTCGTATGTAAACATATTCTACCACCTTTCTTTTTTGGGATTTAAAGAGAAATTAGAAACAAAAGAGCAACTAAAATATTAAAATGGGCATACCACATGGCCACAACAAAGGCCGAGTTTAAAATTTTATTAACAAGGAAGCTAAACAAGATCTTTTGCATATGTAACCCAATTTGAACAGAGGAACCTGTTTCAAGATATTACCTATTACCAAGCACTCTATATTGGATCATAGAAACAACCTGCCTATTGGACATTTATGTACCACTCCCTTCGGCCCAAAATAAATGTCCACAATAAAAAGGCATGCAGTTTTAGAAATGTGCAACTATTACACATTTTAATTAACTAAAAGACAATTTTACCCTTAAAATAGAGGAAGTAATAAATTTCTCTATATCATAATTAATAATAGAATTGGAAAGTAGACGGTTTATTTTTATAAAGTGGAGGCTTATTTTTGGGACAAACTAAAATAGAAACCTGGACGCTTATCTGGGGACAGAGGAATATGACATAATTACTATGAATGAATTCACAACCTTGAAGACCTTAAACTTCCACCAACAGTGAAGCCAATGGCATTTGCAAATAACTAATTCTTGTTTAGTACCCATCCAACAAAAAAGGCTAAATAGTTGCAAGTTCACTAATAGAAAGCTTCAATGAAGGTGCACAGTCGGATCAACAAGAAAAAACATAGTTTCAGAAACATTGCATGAACACTATGTAAAAACAAGAAACAATATGTGCATTACCTAACCAATTTCAGATAGAATATACATGCATGCACCTACCCGGATGTTAAAATCACCGAAAGAGAAATATCAGCCATGTTCTTGAACACAAGAGCTGGATTCAAGCACCACAAACTAAAAGTACAAGGCCAGTCGGAAGCACCAAGTCCTGCAATCAAAATGTTACAATGACAACAGCTAAAAAGCAAAAATCCAGGTGCGGCTGTATGCTTTTCTCCTTTAGGCATATGTCATTTAATTGTGTGAAAATGCTAGAAATTGCTGAATTTAATTATTGACAACATCGCAGATCCTAAGTTAAATGCCGTGGATCCACAATCAATTTTTGGCATAGTGATTAGCATCATTAATACTTCTTTTATTTTGTTGGTGATTTGAGTGAAATCATTAGGTCATTTTGTGCAATTGAATTCACAAGAGAATAATGGGGTTGATAGCTAAGCTCTAACACATGCTAGGAGGTGCGGAGTGCACACTCATGTAAGATATTGATGGAGTATTTTGTCGTATTAGTAGGGCTCAATGGTTATCCAATATTTGAATGTGTTTATCAGTTGGTTATTAGTTAGTTTTATAAAGTTCAAAGAGCTATAAAAAAGTGTACACATGCAATAGTTACTTGTAAACTTAAAATTCGAGAGATTATGCATTACTAAGCAGTATCTAATGGTTTATAATATAATATAGATAATGGTATATAAATTCTATGATTCTATCAACAACTTACCAGCATCATTTTTTATATGACATTGCAATACAAGCTGATAATCACAGATGTGTTTTCCATCTTCCGAGAAAAAGTAGCTAAGTGAAGAGAAAAGACCTGTGTGATTAAAGAAAACAAAAAAGGATGCATGAGGATTATAAGTTTATCCTGACTGCATTCAAGACGAGAAACATAACATGGAAGTTAGAAACCTTCTAATACTGTGCAGGGCATGCCACTTAAGTAATCAACCTCTGGGTCTGCATCTGTAGCAAATTTAATTGCCTGAAGAGGGTTTCAGAAGATAAAGTAGGACACAGTTGTTATGCTAATACCAGCAGTGATCATGCATATATAGATAAAGTTCGACATATAGGACAATACATTATACTTCAGCTTCAAACTTGAGATGATTCGTGAGCTTTTAGGGAAATATGGACAACTATATTCAAGTTTAAATCAAAATTAATTATATTAAGAAATTAAATGTTTGGAAAGTGTCTAATGTCAAAAATCAAAGTACATCTTTCTTGAGCAAATTACACTTTTGCTCGCTGTGGAATCAGCTTTCGTCACTGTGGTTTGCGACCACCGTTGAAATAAATGAAGTTCAGTGATGAAAGCTGATAGTGGGAACATACCACAGGGACCAAAAGTGTAATTTACTGTTTTTCTGTATAAGGGGGAATACTAGGTAGAGAGTGCAGCTCTACAAGATTACCTTTGTAGCACAATCTTGTAAGCTTGGGAAGCACTGCTTTGATATGTTTGCTTCTTGAAGTTCTTTCAAAGCTTTATCAGCAGTCCAACTATAATAGTTGTCACACAATATCAATGAAATGTTCAAATCATACTTGTTCACTACACAAGATGCACACAACTATGCAATGAAATTTTGACTCAGCAAGCTGATAAAACTATAGATCTTAGATAGTTGGAGACACCATGCATCCATACATTTCTTTAGAGATTAAAGAACTAATTATCTAGGCTAAGACAATCGATTTGGTACAGTACTTTTTAACACTTGATCCAGATGCTATATGTACCACATTACACCCAGTATATAGGAAATCCGGACTGAAAGAACTTCTGACAGTATAGATGAGATGGGAGATATATATATATATATATATATATATGTTAGATTGTGGAAAGAGTCGATGCCTTTGATCATTCCATCTCCTCCAATATATAGAGTACAAGGGTACGCAAAATAAAGAAAACGTATTAAAAACATATATTGACAGAATATTTACAAGATATTTACTCTTAATTAATTGATTCACTATCACACCCCTACAGAATGAAGTGCTAGGGGCATGTTTGGTAAAGTACAAAGAGTTTTGTAAACAGAACAAGTAAATACAGTAGGCAATAAAAAAGAAGGTTAAAGCATAATGAAAGCATAAGAGAAAGTATGTGAAACTGAACAAAATAAACCATAAGACAGGTAAGTAAGCCAAAAAGCCTGCTCCTGGGTAACCCTCACCTATGTCACTCCTTATTGTTGCCAAAGAGCCCCACACTACCATACTGGGTATAGAATGTATGATTAAGAACTAATTTTCCATCCTTTTCCTAGCTCAGATCTCCCTCCCTGGGACTAATCTGTCTACTCACTCTATCATAAATTCTTCTCTCTCTTTCTACCCTCCATTGAAGAGTTTTATGAAGAGATGTAGTGCTAGTTAATGAAATTGATATTACTCAATAATTCAGCCATTCTCATTGCAGAAACCTTGGATGTCGTATGCTGGAGCTTAAACAGCAACTGATACGTCATAACTACCAAACGTATAGTGCTTACAAGGAAAAATTGCACAAGCATAAACATGTAGAAAACTTCAAAAAAGTATATCAAATAACTGACCATGACGCATTATGGTGAAAACTATGCTTCCCCAAGGAATTTTTCTTCCGCCTGATCCAACTGATAATACCCTGAAAAGATAAACAGCTAAAAGAAATAGTTATTTTGCTGACAAAATTTGTGCAGTTGTATAATAGTTCTTAAATAAAAAACAGTACCTCTATCATTTCATATAAGGGCTGATAAGTTTCCACTTGATCAGCATGTGTTACTCGATCACTTTGACAAAGATTTTCTAGTTCCATCTGTAATTCTTCCATATGTACAAAGACGACAAAGAGAATAAAAAATGAAACTAAATATAAAAATAAAGGCTAAAAAATGGAGTAAGACAACACTTACGAATCAGAACACCTTCTTCAGCATCTATACTACCAGCCTCCCGAGCTACATCCTCTATATTACTGAAAAGAGGTAAATACAACTTATATAAAATATACATGTGAATGGTAAAATATAAATCTGTAGTTGCAAACTTTTAGTATTTCCATTGCATGGCTATTCGGTCCTAAGTAAATGATAATCATAGAGACTCGATTGAAGATCCGTAGAGTAGCCATCAAAAACCAAACATCTAACCCCCTTGTACTTAACATGCCAAGGGAGGGAGGGAGAGAGAGAAAGAGAGAGACAACAAAAGGAGCACCCCCACAATCGCTAGACTCTAATGAACATAAAAATCGTAAATCATAAAATTTATATTTAATTAATAGAATTGTAATTGTTGGCATTTAGGAGATTATATTACTCACTGAGCTTCATCAAGAATGATAATATTTCCTTTAACATTTATTTCCATCGCTTTTCGAATTTGTGGATTAACAATATAGCTGTATGGGCAAAAAACTATTTCTGCCACTTCTGCCATGGCTTGTGCTCCAAAATATGAGCAACCTGAAAATTCAGGAAAAAAAGTTATATACTAGGCAGTGACCTTGTGTCAAAGAATGTTATCAAGATCGAAGACCAAACCTTCTACCATTTCTCCAACTTTAAGAAGATCTTCAATATCATGGACTTCGTAGCAGCCACCTTTTTTGAGAGAGGGATGCGATCTGATCTTGGTTGCATTCCTGTTAAAGTTCACAGTCGGTTATAAATTCTGATAGCATCCTACTGAAGGGACAACAAGATACAGGGTAGATGAACACGAAAAACTCACCCAAATTCAGGGCAACCAACTTTCTTTTGTCCACGTTCCTTGAGAAGTAGCTTACTAGAGTATCAAACAAAATACATAAGAAGTAAAAAGGTAAAATGTAAAAGCATGTTTTATCAACAAAAAGGTACCATGTCTCGTCAATATTATCTTGCCCACGTACTTTAGCGTTTGTACAGTAGCGTTTTCTAGATGCCTGAAAGATGACCCAAATACATAATAAATTACATGCAAATCACATTCTAAAATTTGGAAGATTAGACTAGTGTATTTCTACTTGATAAAATATACAACGTAGGTTCTTCTTTATGCCAGTAGAAGACATAGTGAACGTCAATGTCAAGCAAGGTTTCTCACAAACAAAAATAAAACCAAAGATTGTTAGCTCGGTAGGCAATTAGTAAAAGGATCAAAGCTAAGACCAATAATAACACTAACAGACCGTTCGCTTTTTCATAATATCACTTTTGGTGCGTTTGGTACGTGGGACAGGACAAATACCTCTTATCCCACATTCGGTGCGACATTAAGACTAGAACAGAACAGGCCTGAGTGAGACAAAATGGCTTTTTTTCCCGCCAAAGTACGCAGAACAAAAATCAGGGAGATGGGACAAGATTGGTAAATTACTAACTCTTCTTTCACCTGCCTACCTCACTCTCGCCCTACAAAGTCAAATTCATTAAGCTAAAAGAAAAAGTTCAAATGAAAAGGATAAGATTTGAGTATCATTTTATAGAAGATAATTTTTTTATTTTTAATGTAAATCATATTAAGGCAAAATGCATCTAATGGAACCAAGTTTGGGTTCATTCCTATTTTGGAGAACCAACTTCAAAGACCTTCATTTTTGGGGCCTAGAAGCAAATAATTCAGGGATCCCATGACCAGAACCCTTAGCCCATTATGTTTGATGACATGGCATTTTTACAATATTTGGAATTTACAACTCAATGTTTTTATTGTCGTGTCAATCATGTGGATTTTGTTCCTTCTTTAATTATCCATCTGCATGGTCTTCTTACAAATCAAAAACATATTTCCAACTCAAAATTAAAATCACTTTCTTCCAAAAATATCAAACCTAATTTTATTTTTCAAAATCAAACCTTCAACATCAATATCAAAAGTATACCCATTTCTTCTTCATTACACCATCATTTGGAAGAACTTGGAGGCTTGTTTTCATAGATTAGACTTGTATGACCTAATATTTCTTAGCCAATATGTAGTGATGATATGGAAATAGAAACAGCATTTCAAACCTTCTCTTGATTAATCCAAGCGAATAGGCTATCTAGGCTACGACAATATTATCCGAAACTTGTTGCATTAGGCTAAAAAGAAACCAAAAGAGGCTATATAACTATGCAAACTAAAAGCAAGCAAAATAGGTGAATCCCCAAGAATCCCAAGACATGTGTGGTATCCTTTTACACATTCCTCATTAAGGCCAACTCCTTTGGTATACATGACTCATCCAAATCTCTCTTCACTACTCTCCCCTCACTGGTCAATCTTAAGACAACCCCCACTTTCCCCAATAAAAGATTACTCTTCTCGCTCACAAAACAGGTGAGGCAGAGGACCACAGGTCTCCCTCCAAGTATTTCTAAGTTATACCGGAGATTTGATTCATGAGCGACCCATCTTATGCCTCCTAATAGCATAGTTCTACTTCTTATGCCACACCATCCTCATCTATTTTTGTTCTTACAGCTAGTGGTGCTTTTGTTCCTGTTCGTCAGGTTGGATTTGTGGGTCGCTCTTCTGATCCATCTGGTCTTTTACTCTCTTGATGTAGTATATCATGTTCCTCAGTTATCCTTAAGTTTCTTGTTTGTCGGTCAACTCGTTGATCTTGAATACAAATGCTAAGCATTCCACTCATTTAACATAATTTTACAAATTCATCTACGAGATGAAAACCATGCATGGAGCATTTTAATATAGTTCTATGACTAGATGGAGATCAATGTAAGGTACTTGAGCAGTTGAACAACAAACTACTCCGGAAGAAAACAAATTCTGATCAACATGAGAATTCAAAATCATATATATAGAAGAAATCTTTTCAAACAAGAGTATAAAACATAAGCTAAAAACTAAAAAGCCAATGTAGGATAACATACCAAAACTGCCATAGGCACATGGTAATTTGTTTTCCGAAATTCGCTGATGACTTGACTAATTTGTGAATGTGTCCTCCTGAATAGCCAACGCAAAAACAATACACAGATAATGTCTAATGGAAAACCAAATATGAACCTTGAATCCAATTCAAAACCAAGCATAAATTGTTTTCCACTACTGTTTCATAAGAAGATTTATGTGCTAATTAATCTAATATCCACTCCCAATATTTACCATTAACCATTCTCTAAATAGTTACTTTCTTATATGAATGCTATCACCTCCTCAGCAGGAACTACTCAAGTTCATTAGCCCATAAATCAAATTATAAGAAAACCACTCATCTCATTTTATGTTTAACAGGGAAACGTAATGGTTGCTCTTTACCAGAACTTATCATAACTCATTTGCACATATTCTTTCTATTGAGCAAAAAAGATCTATTGAGCAAAAAAGATCTATTGAGCAAAAAGGCCTATTGGTGTGCATATTTCAATTAAACTAAAGCGTATCATATATGAAATTATCAATTTCTTTTTAGCATGATACATCAAATATATCTTTTTACCGAACACCATTTCTGGCTTTATACCGCTTTGGAATGCCTCTAAGCTAAGGTTTCTACTCAAGCAACCACAAAGGTACCATAAGAGCATAAGTTACATTGAGAGCATCATATAGCATTTACAAAAGTGGTCAGCTTCACAAATCACATGTACTATTTGAGAGAAGAAGAAATAAGAAACTTTCATCCACCTAAAGCTCATCTCCTAAACTACCAATATTATCAGTCAGTTCATGTTCCGTACACTGTTAGTGGGACGAAGTTTTTCGGATCTTGAGGTATCTCAACGAGTGTTCTATAAAAGGGCGATCTATATTTTGTTCAAGGTTCTTGCAGAGTAGGTGCTTTCATCAAAGAAGGATATGGAAAGGTTTCACTTTTCAGAATTCTCTGATGTGGGCAGGTTATGCCATTACTCATTGTTTCATCACCAGACACCAATTGTTGTGTCTGTTCATGTGGTAACCTAGTTTCATGGAAAGCAGGAAGCAACATATTGTATCACTATCGAGCACAATCAAAGTATCAAGTTATTCCAGGTTATGAGATGACATAGACAGACCAAACATTTATTGCATAAGCTAGGAACTCCAACTGATGAGGCTATATCATGATAGCCAAGCCATTCATATAGCTAAAGAATCAGTTTTTGTCATGTAATGACCAAACACCTAGAGGTTGATTGCCATCTTGTGAGCAACTGTATGGGTGTGACAAAAGCTCCCATACTCGTAAAAATGATTTGAGAAATGTTGAAAGAACTACTTAGCTTATTTAAATCATTAGTTGTTCCTATCCAACTATCCTTATCTATTATGTCACTCTTAATGAACAAATTTATCAAAAATAAATCCCAATCTTTAGATGCTTAAAACATTAGGATCATAAAAATTCCTAAGTGGCAAAAATTTATCTCCATTAACATACAAATAAAATATATGATAGAATCTCAAGCACTCCAATGAATAAATCTTACGTGGCATAGTAGATGACAGGACCTCTTGTTTTATTCTGCTTCGTATTGTTTGACTCAGAAAGAGTAGGCATCAGGTTTCCTATGGTTTATCAAGAAAGAAGATCGTTGATTAATGTAATTGTGATATAGCAACTGTGCATAAATTATACAGAAAAATCACACATGAAGTGAAATAAAAAAAACTGGACCCATTCAACATGGATACAAAATACAATTAAACATAACTAATCCACAGATAAAAAAATATTCATAGAAAAACACTTCATGGTATTAAACTTTAATAGATGAAGAGCTTCCCAAACCCTCTACAACTGTTGTCTTACACAGTTTCTCATCCTAAATAAGAAAAGACATATAAACTACTAATATCACTTTGAGTAGCAAAGAAAATAAGCATGATCCACAAAAGCATACACATAATAATGTGTTGTTTGACTTGTTTCTATGCATTTGTATATTATAAAACATTAGATGAAATACAGAAGAAAATGGAGGCAGTGTAGACAAAAGCATAATATAAATCCATTGTAAGAGCTCAGATGTTTCTCCTATCATACAAGTTCTCTGTTCCAGCAGTCGTATTTTCTCATGGGCATATCAAGGTGCTGTTTGGTTGGTTTTTCATTTAAGTCCTGTATAGATTGAGAATGTTTTTGTTTGTGAGAGTTTTTTCATAGATAGAAATAGCGTTTTTTTTAATTGGGAATAACAGGTTTGGAAAAAACTTGACTTTCTGCATAAAGCTTCCCTCTAGAAGCTTATGAACAAGCCATTTTCTATATCATTAAGCCACTATCGAACCATCATATATAGCTGATCGTATAAGCTGTGAGTCCAATTAAACTCATTAAGCTGCTAACAAACATGTCCTAATTCAGTAAAGCCAAAAACTGACAAAGCATTATTTTTTTGCCCTTAAAGCAAGAACATGGTGTAAGTTTTATCAACAAATAAACAATTTTACATCAAAATGTAATTTACCTGGTCTGAATAACAGAAACTTAAAACAAACAAACTTATGATGACTTTTTAAAGAGGTGGAACTTACCCAATATCGTTGATATTCAAGTTGTCACTCTAAATTTTATAGACAGGCCCAATAAGCACCTAGAAAATTGTTTCTACTTTCCCCCAGGGCATAGCACAGTTGGTTCCGGGGTGGTATACTTGCACAAACAGGCGAGGGTTCAAATCCAGCAGCCACATCCCACAGTGTGGGAGTTACAATTCCTTTGGGGATTGGGTTCCTTGTGGTGAGCACTTGACTCTTAAGCCAGCCACCTAGAGGTCCGTTGTGTACCTGATTTGCCTCTCACATGAAGTGTTTGGGACAAGGCGGTCTGGGCCAGTTCATGGGTTGCCGGTAACAAAGCCTTTTTGCAGAAAAATTGTATCTACTACCAGTACCTTGAAACAAACCAAACTAGCCCAGTAGATTCCACACTATACCCTTGCTTATACTATTAGAATTAATGGTTAGAACTCGCTAGCACCTTGACCCTCAATGCAACACAACCGACTTACTTACTGGATAATTTAGGTAACCATGTTATATATGCCATTGAGGATGTACGTTTGGTAGCAAGACTCACTACTAATTACTAATACGTATCAAACAAAATTGGTGTTCTAATACCATAAATACAATTGTCAATAACTTGAACGTGGAATTCAGATACAAATGTCAATAACTTCAACGCGGAATTCAGATACAGGGTTTCAGGTAAGATTGGTCAATTTGATCTCATAGTCAAACAGTGCCTCTTTTGTAGATACCAGCAGCATTCAACTCGAAATAAATATCCATAACAAAATGTGATCATTTATACCTGATGGCTCCATTTCAGGAACAAAACCCCCACCGTGACCCAACGGATCAACCAGAGCCTCCGGATCAGGTTTCGAGTGAGAAATATTGCCATATTGAGGCTTTGACCGATGATTCTTCTGCCATGCAAGAACCGAGCAAAGCAGAGACAAAGACTTCCCAGTACCAGTAGGTGATTCAAGTAAGGCATGAAAATGGCCGTCTTTTTGAGCTCGATCGAGTGTTGCGATTACTCTGCCCATGTAAGCCAACTGTGAGCCGTATGGTTGGTACGGAAACTCGATTGGTATGCCACCGATGTGAATGACATTCTTTTTCGAGGGTTTAAGGTTTAGGTTTGGGTTTGACGCCGGCATTCGGTATGAAGACATAGCTTCTCCGGTGTGTGTAGATTGTCGCCGGTGGTTTGCCTTCATCCTCAGGTTTCCAATAGAATTAGCTGATTAAGGTTCTAGGGTTTCAATTTTTATGAATATTTTGTTTATATTTGGCGGGAACTCCATTTTTTTATTTTTTATTCCTTCCACGGAATAATCTAGCAGGAAGAGCATTAAATCGGATCAAAACACAGATTATGTCCTTGTGGTTTGATGAAAAATGCGGATTTAGTCCTTGTGGTTTGATGATGATGTGGATTTAGTCCCTATAATTTAAAATTTGACCCAAAAAATTTATTGTTTTTATTTTCCCATTTTGGCCCTAATAGTCATTAAGTCTTATGTAAGGGCATTTTGGTCATTCTATCTTTCTTTTTCGTAATTTTTCTATCGTACAAGTTTAGATTGCATATATAGAAGTGTATAAAGCATTTACAAACATACATTAAAACTAATTCCTTCACCATCATCCCTTCTTCCTCTTCCCCCGATCAGCTTCTCTTACAACCATGGGCGGACCTACCATGGTTGTTACGGTGGCACGTGCCACCGTATTATTTCTCCATCGAATGGTAAAAAATTTAGATTCGTGAAATGTACAATCGTATTAATCTGTTGTGTACCACCGTATGTACTTAAAAACAACAATGAGAACAAGTTTTATTTGGTAGAGTTGGTTTGCAAAGTTTTTATTCCACTCAATACCCAAATTCAAATCTTGTTAGTGTCATTTTCTTAGTCAAATAGTGCCACCGACTGAAAAATTATGTATATTTGTTTCTTATAGACAACCGGTGTCACTGTTTGAAATTTTTTCGCTATAGTTTTTTCTTATAGTTAAATGGTATCACTGTTTGAAAAAAAATCTGGATCTGTCCCCGCTTACAACCCCCACTCTGCATGGTTGCACCTCCTTCTGGAATATGCTTGATGGTCCATATCACAATGGTGGAGATAGCGCCAAATATGATGTTATGGACGACCTGTTCATCAAGTAGTCTTTTGTCCTCTAAGAAATAATCAAATATAAAAGTAAGTTGTTCATTATTCATTTTTCCTTTCCAGATGACATGATTATGGCAAATTTTTGAGTCGGCTCTTTCCTATACTTCGTAAATTTGTGAAGTAATGTCTCGAAAAGATTACCCGCATTGAGTTATTTTCGGAATATAATATCTTGAGATATTTGTTATAATGCAGGGAAAGCATGTGACACTAAATTTTGACTAGAGAAACAACGAGCCTATCAACAAATGGTTTGTTTGTCGATTAAGATCTACTTACTAGCATGCAATGTAGGCTCGATATTTTGGCACAAGCACAAGCTTACTAGCAACATGAGCTCGAAATCATCATACAATGACACCTTAAACGTGCGGGTCTCGAAGATTAAACCATACCTACCAAACAAACCCATTACTTGCTTCTTGCAATAATTTGAAGACACAATTTAATTGTTGAATTGAAGCTGTTTAAGACATAAAAAGGACTCACTCGTTGATTTTAGAGATGAAGAAGACGATCGGGTTTTGAGAATAGAGTCAAAAGGTTTCACCAATATACGACAATAAAGTTAAGTTTTCTTTGCCTCCTATCATTTTTAGTTAATTTTTTAATGGGCGGAAGAGAGTTTCGATGAGAACGGTAAGAAAAGATCTTCACCACTTGGATCGATCTTAATTGAAGATCAACATTAATGCGGTGCACCGAGATGCACTGAATCAAATTCCCATGGAAAACGCAATTCATGAGGTGGGGATAAGATTAAAAGTGATCAACGGTCCAAATCTCCTATTACGTTTCTCATCTTAACTCATATTCTCATATGATCTTACGTCGACGGATGAATATGAATTTAACCCAAAGAAAGTTCATTTAGCTAACATATTTTTCAAGCAAATTGTTTTAGGTCTATGCTTTTAAAATTAAAACAAATTCAAAAAAATTCAGCCTGAGATCAAACTAATTCTAAATTGAAACCAAATTATTTTAGATTTATATGATTTTTAATTTAGTTAGATATGATTTAGGGTCTATTTGTTAACAACTTAATAAGACTCACCTTATTTAGTTAATTGTCATAATTGTTTAATAATGTATTAATGATATAGAAAATGACTTATTCGGTAAACTTTTAAGATAGAACTTTATGCAGAATACAAGTTGTTTTCAGACCTGCCAATTAAAAAGGAAAATTAATTAAAATAACTATTTTTGGTCTGTGGTTTCAACTATTAGTCATTTCTCTTTTAAAATCACGAAAATATTACTTGGTTTGCAAGTAACAATCTGGTAGATATGTATTTCACGAAGAAATCAAAGTGTAAAAAAAAGTTTCTAAAAGAGTTCCGTAAAGTAAAAGAACCAAATCTATACATTCCGAAAAACACATCCGTTCATTGTCCAAATTTATAGATTTAGCCCCTGTATTCAGAATTTTCTTATTACATTTTAACCCCTCTATAAAATGTAGACCTGTTATTTGAGGACCAAATGGTATTTTGATAATTTTTAAAGAGAAATGGTTAAGAAATGAAACTGGGGATGCTGATGGGTTGAGTTGATCAGGTTGAAGACATTTTAACAACCCAACTCAATGCTTGCGGTTTGAAAAATCTTAACCCAACCCAACCCAAACTGTATGGGTTGGTCGGGTTAGTCGAGTTGATACTTTGGTACATTAAAATATTTTTTCTAATCTTGAATATGTTATTTTAATAACTAAAAATTTCTTTTTCATCATCAATCATTTGATACAATTTATCTATACTTTTTACGTATATCACATTCAATTAATTTTCTTAATTTACGTATATATGTTTACAGTTACTGAACATATATACGAATGAGTTATATATTAATAGAAATGTAAATGTATAGTTATATATTAATGGAAATTCAACAATCAAATTAAATATAAGAAATAAATAGATAGTGGGTTCAAATAATAGTAACCAATATATATGGTTTGAAAATTTTACAACTCGATTAGACATCGAATTGCTTTAGATTAAGTTATTTCGTGTTGGGTTAGGTTAGGTTGATCGGGATTTTAAGCATCTCTAAGGGTGCGTTTGGTACGTGGAACAGGGTGGGACATGACATGACAGGACACACTTGTCCCATGTTTGGTGTGTTTCCAAGTGGAACACATATGAGACACGTCTGTTCACCCTTACCCCCCTAGAACTAAGTGGAACAACACATATTTGACAAATATACCCTAAACCTAATACCTATCTACCGTCTCCATCCATCTCCATCATCTTCTTCAAGCCACCTCCATTTCCATCGTCTTCTTCACAGGAGACCTCCATCATCTTCTCCACAACGAACTCCATCTCCATCGTCTTCTTCACAGCTTTTTTCACAACAGACCTCCATCCCCATCATCTCCTCCACAACAGACCTCCATCTCTATCGTCTTCTTCACAGCCGCCCTCCGCCTCCATCTCTACCGTCTCCTCCATGGCTCCATCTCCATCGTCTTCTTCATAGCCCGCCTCCGCCTCCATCTCCACCGTCTCCTCCATTTTTTTAAGGTAAAACTCTCTCCTTATCTCTCTATACGTCTGTTTTTACCCATTTCTTCAAATTTTGTTACTGCATCGCTTGTCTACTTTCGTTTGAATTAGGAAATTCGTGTGAGAAACTGCTTGAATTTGAATATTATGCTGTTTAGGGTTTTTTTTTCGATTTAGGATATTTGTTAATGTATTTTGTTTCGATTTTTTTTCTATTTTCGAGGCTTAGATGTGAATTTTAACTAGTAATTTTGGTTAATTAGACGTAATTCACTCAAATGTTTGATTTAGTGTTCTTAGGATTGTTCATTGTGGTGTGATATGTAGTTATGTATTTGAAATGTCACTGGGGTAAATTGATGATTTTAACCAGTTTTGTCCTGTCCTGTCTTGTCTTACCAAACGTTGAACATATGTCATGTCCTATCCTATCTGTCTGCGTACCAAACGCATCATAAATGAAACCATACGGTCAAAAAGAAAAAACACGCTGATTAAATATAAGAAAAAACTAATAAAACACCAAACTATTTTGATTAAAATTTGGAAAAAGATATTAATGAATTAAATATATAAAAGTAATTTAAAGTCAAATTAAGTAAATAAAAAGTGAATTAAAAATTATCCAGCAACCAAAGTTCCCAAAATCAACCCTTCTCAAATATCGTCGTCGCATCTCGCTCTCGAGTCTCGACGCTTTCGCAGTCTGCGATTTCTCGCGCCATCTCAATTTCACATAGGTATGAACAAACCCTAATCTGCGGATTTCATTTTTTTTTTCTGTTTAGGGTTTTCATCTGCGATTTCACACAGGGTTTGTTTATTTTGATTTATGTTATACACCCTTCATCCATGTATTTGAGGTTTGTGTTGATGTTGAATTGATTTAGTCACCAACATGGAAGTCGTCCAAATCGTGCATTTCCATTCCTGAGCTTAACATCTTACTGATGACTTCTGTATGACCCCAAATTGCTGATGATGGCCCACCGAGTTTGTTTATTCCTCCTTAATAATGTGAGCATCAAAACCAATTGTACTCGCAATGTTCATCTTCGTTGTCACTTTTCTTCTACAAAAATTCCTCGATTACGACCGTCAATGGCGTCGTCTGCTGCTGCTCAAAGCTTTATATCAAGGCTACACCGCCTTGGTGACTCGGGCCCTGCCAACGAACACATCACGAGCCTTTTCACTTCCCAAATACTCGTTGGTGTTTACCTTCTTATGTCATTTGAAATTGTAAGTTCCAATTATAAATCCACAAAAACACCCAAGCGTACTGAATTTTGACGTGTGATTTGTGGGTTTATCAGTATCATTACGGATTTTATGTGGGAGTAATTTAGCCTTCAATATATGTTGGTTATGTAACATTTTTCCAATTGCGTTGCGCTGGGTGTTGTTTATCGTATTCGGGTAATTGCACCAGCTCAAAGTTTTGCGCACTTTTACTTTCAATTTTATGGGCTTCGGATGGAGATGGGTGGTTTTTCATTTGCTTCTCTCTGTTGTGTTATTGTAGATTATGTAGGTTTTGTGGGCTAAATACTATGGTGTAAATGGTGTCACGCTTTCTTTTTTGTTTAAGTTCAACTCTTTTTATGCTTTATAAATGAAATTTGCAGTTAACAATGGCTAGAACATCTTGCTGATCCTGGGAAATATTGTGTTGTTTACTATATCATTTTGTGCTCTTTGTGTTATCACTTGGAACTGTGGTTGCAATCTGGCTGTTTTTATTTGTTCTTTGATTGTTCAAAATACGTTGCTTCATTTTTCTAGGTATGAACCGCATTTGTGAATATTCACAACCCAAGAAACCTAGGATTTATTGGAGAAAAGAAATTGTGGTGAAAACGTTTCTTGAAGCATGTATACAGGAAGTAGCTTTAAATGGACGAGAAGGTGGTAGTCTTAAGCCAGTTTCATGGAAGAATGTTGCGGAAACACTAAAAATGACACATAATTTCATTGTTGAACAAAGACAAATGAAAAATCATTATGACTATCTGAAAGGAAAATTCGGAGCATGGTCAAAATTAAAGAACAAAACAGGAGATGTGTATGATCCATTGACCAACACATTTAATTTAACAGAAGAGGAATGGCAGATAGAAATGAAGGTCACATTCTTTCTTTATATATTTTTAATTTGGTTTCCTTGTTGTTTTACTTGTGTACTGATAATTTTTATGTAAACAGTCAAATAGATACATACAACGATTGAGGAGTGCGCCACTTCCTTTTCCCGAACTTTGTCTACAACTTTTTGATGGAGTTATTTCCACAAAGATTGGAACTTCTACTCTTTCTAACCCTTCTCCTCTTGCTTTCAAAATGATTGAAGATCGTCCAGCAAATCATACACAAGAATCATGTGATTCAACACAAGATCCCCTAGCTTCAGCACGAGAGTGTTCTTCTCGTCTTCAAACTCAAATAAAAAAACGAAAAGGTACACATCCAGGCAAAGCACTAATATAATATTTTGCTATGATTGTGAATCATATTGTTGACAAACAAAAGGGTTATGATATGGTTGCTAGCATTGAGAAGTTAAAGAATATTGGGTGGAAACAAACCCCTTGTATGTTGCAGCACTTATCTTTTTTGTGAAAGGGTCGATTATCGTAAATTTTGGCTGCTCTTCAGAATGAGAGGTTTGAAAATTGGGTTAGAATTATGGGATGCGAGCACTGACTATTTTGAACTGTAAGGGCAGTTTTAAGTTTCTATACATAATGTGGCCCCCTAAACTAAAAGGAAAAGGCAAAATACATTAAAATAAATTTGGCTTATTTTCTATTTAGTGTAACAATTAATTTGACTAGTAGCAGTGCAGCAGGCACGGTTTGCACGGCGCCAATCGAAGAAAGTCACTGCCCTACCGACGAACATCGGCTGCAACAGGTATTTCAAAGCTATATGCCATTGATTTCAAGTTTTCAAGTTTAAATTCTTCGTTTTTATCTCTTGAATCTTGATTCTCCAATGTTTGAGACTTTGAGTTTGACCAATGACCAGATATGTTATTTAGTTGTTTAGACTTTAATCTTTAGGTAGCCTGCCAGCCATTTTAGTTCAATGGTAGTTCTTTGGACTTAAGTTGTCAGTCTTGAACTTTGGGTGTTTTTGGAGGTAACCCATAAATTCTTCTTCAGATTGGAGGTGAGGGTTTTTTGCTGTTTCTTATAGTATTTGATTATGAGGGAATAAATGAGGGACTTGCTTTTTTTTGGGGTGAAAATGGCGTTCAAGTGAACTTGTCACTACCACGCTACTGTTACTAAATTGCACAAAATCTTGTGACTTGTGTTTACCAGTGTAGAATGCACAATTTGTCTTGCTTCATTATCAGTATTACTTGGACTAAAAACTCGATGGGATGGGTCAAAGTTTTGTAGGATTTTCAATATTAGTTCTTTAATCTTTTGGCTGCCATTTAGGGGTTGTGCATCAAATGCTTATCAAGTAAGTGCTTATCAACAAGAGTCACCATCCTCACTTGCCTTGTCTATAACATTTCTTGACCGTCAAATTGGATCGTTGGTAAGCGTCTCTTACCCGGTAAGCGCTAACCAGGTAAGAGTCTTCTCTCTTATTTACGGGGGAAGAACTTTGGTTGTTGCCGTGCCTCTTACTAGGTACCCTATAAGATTCTCGGTCCTTGTCATGCTCACCGGGTAAGGTAAGTGACCCGGTAAGCATTTGGTAAATGACCCCTTAGTATTTTAGTTCAATATCAGTTCTTTAATCTTTCATAGTTCAATCTTCAGTGTTGGTGACTTAGTTTTTTAATCCTTAGGCTGCCATTTACACTTGTTATGTTACCATTACATTCAAAAGATACTGAGCATGTTTTGAAGATGTTCAATTTATCGATAGTTTAGATACTTATATATTAAAGGTTGATGGTCATAAACGTTGTTTTGTTACCGTCCGTAGGATGCGTGTCAGGAGCTTATGGTTCAGAAGTTGGACGTTGATGCTCATCCACCGTCTAGGGATCCTGATCTTGTGCCGATGGGTTCAGCGGAAAGTTCAAGTACCGGTAGATCTTATGCTCGTTGCCTGGGTTCGGGAAATTCTGATGAGGTTTGTTATTCTCATATATAATCTATTACTCCATTCGTCCCAAAATAAGTGTCTACAATGAAAATGACACAATTTTATAAATATATAATTGTTACACTTTTTCATTAACTAAATGGCAATTTTACCCTTAGTAAAGTGGAGTAATGACTTTCTTCATGTAGAATTGGAAAATGGTGGCCGCCTACGTCTCAAAACAAGTGTCTACAATGAAAATGACATATAATTCTAGAAATATGTTATTGTTACACTTTTTAATCAAGTAAATGTCAATTTTACTGTTAATAAAGAGGGAGCCGTGATTTTTTTTATCTCGTAACTAAGGGTAGAATTGGAAAGGAGTCACTTACCTTTGAAGGTGGACACTTATTCTCGGACAAACTAAAATAGAAATGTGGACACTTATTCATTACAACTGTGACGATTGTTTAATCATTGTGTGTTGTTTTGTGATATTTTTAGGTACGAAGATTAAAGAAACAAATTGAAAGAATGGAACAAGCGCGTGAACAAGAAAGGTTAGAGATGAGAGTCCGAGAAGCAAGGCTGCTAGCACGGGAAGCAGAGTTGGGAGCGTGGGAAGCAAAGTTGCAAGCACGAGACGGGCGGGTAACAAGGACGCAAACCATGCCACTACTAAAAATTCACATTTCACAGGCGGAAAAAAATCCGAAGGAAAATTTGTTTGGTGATTTCTGACGGATGCCAAAAAAATAAAAAACATGTCTTTTGTTGACTTCCGTCACAAATTCGCTACTAATTTTTTTAAAACGGATAGGCATTAATATCTATTAAATTTTGTGACGGATTTGTGGTGGAGTATTTATTTATTTACTATTTCCAAAAATCCACCACAAAATGATCTAATTTTTTTTAAATAATTAATTTAATTAACCAAATTTCTGGCGGATTTAATTAATTAATTAAAATTCGCCACAAATCCGAATAAATTAAAAGTAATTTATTTTCTGGAAAAAACAAGAAAAATATTTTTGACGGATTTTTAGCAGATTTCACCGACGACTGATGATCCGCCCGAAATATTTTAAACTGTTTTTTTCTTTGTTCCAGAAAATTATTTTTATTAAAGATTCTAATGTTTTTTTTGTATTTGTAGGAAATTAATGAGTTAAAGATTCAAGTTGAGGAACTGCGTAGATCTATGGAGATCCGGAAGAAGGAGGATGCAGAGAGGATGGAGATCCTGAAGAAGCAGGAGGCAGAGAGGATGGAGATCCTGAAGAAGCAGGAGGCAGAGCATGCAGAGAGGATGGAGATCCGGAAGAAGCAGGATGCAGAGCGTGAAGAGCTGATGGACACGATGAGAAGGTTAATCCAATCTCACCAGTTTCCGCCGACCCCGCCGCCAGATTTTTGATATCTTGTTTGTATGTTTATGAACTTTTATCACTAGCAATCAATCATACTTTAATTTTGTTGAATATTTTGTATCGTATTTATTTCGCCCTAACAACCGTATTGGGCATTAATTTATGATTTGGGATGTTTCTGTATTTTAGTAGTTTTTTGCAATTTTTTTAAATTTATATGATTTTAATATTATCTATACTATTTTATAAAAGCAAACTTAAGAAAGTCTTACAAACAGGTTATGATGTATAAAATACTTTTTTTATGTACAAAGTCTTAAAATCTTTTAATTACTACATTTTAAGCATAATGTAATATTCTGCTCTCCTAATCTCCGGGTTCTTTACTAAACTAAACCCCCAAAGAATTTAAATTATAAAAATAACTTACAAAATATCATATTTCTAAAAATGATCCTCCATTTAGCATTACACATTGTTTGGTGCGGGACTTTTTTGCAAAAAGAAAAAAATCTTACATGATGACGTGGCTTACCTTCGATGTGACGCGGCTGACGGTAAGGGGCCGACCCTTAGTTTTGACTCCTATTGTACTTTTTCCCCTTTTCCTTTATACTACTCTCACTTAACTTATGGAGCAACATTCATTACCATCAAAATGGATGGTAAATGCTTATGGGTAAGATACTTAATTCTTGTATTTTTTTTTATCAGATAAGATTTTCAGTACTTGTTATTCATATGGTAAGGAAATTGAATCGGTAAAACTTTTACCAAGCCAAGTGTTTAATAAACGGCCCATTAACTTTAGAAAACCTTGCATGATCTTAATCAATTGTCCGAGTCTCCCTTGGGTTATTGGGATTTATCAGGCTGTCATCTTCAAAGTCTCATATAATTAATCGAGATGCATACAAGCTGACCTGAATGCCAACAATGAAGAATAAAAAATCCATAATACTTATGAAAATTAATTGAGATCCAAATTTGTACATGAATTAGGGTTGGAATTAGGAAGGGGGTGAAGACACATGAAGTTTCTGAATCATCTTCTTCCCATGTGGGGGGCATTCAAAGTAACATTGGCACCATAAGAGTCTCAAGCATTCTCCAATGGAAGGTTGACCATTGGAATCATATCCATGTTCCTTGAGGCATAAAAAGTTGCATCCATATATTTCACATCCAAATGGTTTAAAATGATTAGCATAACATTCTTCACCCATCAACAACTCCATACCTGCAAATTTACAATTTAGGTTTCCAACTGTTTTGTGATTTATTTAAAGCTTGAATTACATGAAAAAACAACGTATTTTGATTTAATGCCTATTTTATGTAACGTATATTTAGAACATTTATTTGTGTACCTTATATATGATATCTCAGACATTTAGATTAAAATATATATATATATATATATATATATAGGTCCATTTAAAGAAGAACTGATTAATTTGTGATAATTGTGAGATTCAATCTCAACTACAAATTAATAGATAAATTAAGGAACTAATGTTTTTGTAATTTGACTTGAATTTTTAATTAAAGGACATTTTAGGTATTTAATATTTTTTAATCTCTCCTTTGTCTTTCTCTTGCTTCCAGCCTCGGTAAACCTTATTTCGGCGAACACCATGTGATATCCAAAATACACCAAGATACACAATATGATATTTAAAATACACTAAGTAAACTTCGAGACCACTATGATACCATTGTGATACCAACCTGTAGTACCACTATGATACTTACATTGTGTATATATATATATGTGTGTGTGTGTGTCTACAATGTGTGTTGTATGTGTGTGTGCAATGTGCACCGGATAAGGCCACAATGTGTGTATATACATATATAATAAAGTAATTAATTTAATTAAAGTAAATTGGAATATTAAACTAATTATAATAAATTGAATAATCAACTTAAATTATTAATTTACCCATCTATTTTATTTTAAGAAAAACATTAATAATCTTAAATGATTGGCTTACGTTGGATCTCATAGTTACCACAAACTAATTAGTTTTCATTTGATTA